TACAACTGCAGTTTTCTTTATTTACATTCGCGAAGCGATAATCCCGACGATCCATATTTCTATAATAAAAAAATCACTTATGAAGTGCCAATTACGAAACAGTTTTCCACAACATTTACGTTTCAAATAAGCCTACTGCCCTTCACCCTTTTCCTCAAGCTCCTTGTCACAATTTACACCGGAATGTAGTTGTGCTTCTCTACCCAGTCCCTGAAAAAAGCCACCCGAGTGTACACGCCAAACTTAAGGGGTTCTGCGCACCCACTTCCCCAAGAAACAATACCCTGCAGAAGTCCTCCGCACACCAGAGGGCCTCCACTGTCGCCCTGTTGGGATTGAGGATAAGACGGGGGATAATACAAAAGGGTAATTGGTACACTTTTAACATTACCCATAAAATGAATGATAAACATGAACGAAACTGCAAAAAGAGTAACTGGTAGAAAGGATCGATAATTAATGGAAAATATATTCAAAATTTAAATTATTTAGCAAATGAATTTGCTCCTGAATGAATTCATAGTTATGACGTACACATTTTAAAATAAAAAAACTAAACTTACCGCACAAGCGTCGTGCTGCCCCGTCGGGTAACCTGCACACATCATAGTAGGGGTAATGAGATAAGGATACGAATCCTCACAGTACATTTGATCAATTACAGGTACATCAACAGCGTGCAGCACCGAAGTCACCGGTCCTCCTTCCTGTAGAGCAATTTTTTGGGGGGTCATTCTCTTCTTTCATGAGGAATCGAACCACAGATTCCAAAAGTCTTCTCCTACTAGCGTAAAGACATATTGATGATATAGGAAAGTTTATTGTGCCTCGATGATGTACATAAATCTCAAAACTAACCTTCAAATCATTTCTTACGTTATATGCATAACCTCCAGATACCTTTCGTGTACGCCTAACCTCCAACCATATCTTTCGCAACTGTTCAACCCATATCATTTTCTTTCATCTCCTCTACTCATTGGTCCTTCCAACATCGACATTGCTGTCCTATTAGGCTCACCTCCAGCGCCCCCCAGCCAGACACGACGCAATGGTCGGCCACCGCTGGGTCCTCGTCTTGGTCTGGCATCTGCACGGCGTCAACGCCCTCGCCGAAGGACAGAGGAGATACCAACTACCAAATATAATGATTCTGTACACATAGATGCAGATGTATGTAATAAAAGGAATAGCTAAATAGATAGATAGATAGATTGTTAATTGAATCAGATAATGGATAAATAAAAAAGTTATATAGATAAATTAGTTAACAATTGGCAAGATAAGTAAGTAGATCGTGGTAAAAGGAAGCTACGTCGCGCGGAGTGCAGGTAGCGGAACCTGGGTCACCACGAGGCTGGGAAGGTGGTGCGGGCTCTGCGCGACGTAGTTACCTTTGGTTTTACAGAAGATGCATCTCGCGGCATGTAAAATGCGGATCTTAGTCATCAGGGGTCATCGCGACGGCCAATAAGCCGACACCGATTGCTGTGTGTGTGTGTGTGTGTGTGTGTGTGTGTGTGTGTGTGTGTGTGTGTGTGTGTGTGTGTGTGTGTGTGTGTGTGTGTGTGTGTGTGTGTGTGTGTGTGTGTGTACGCAGACATATATACATACATGCAGGCAGACATACATACATATATATATATATATATATATATATATATATATATATATATATATATATATATATATATGTATATATATATATGTATATATATATATGTATATATATATATATACATATATATATATATATATATATATATATATATATATATATATATATATATGTATATATAAAAATATATATGTACATATATAGATAGATAGATAGATAGATATAGATATAGATATATGCACACACACAAACATACACACACACGCACACACACATACACATACACGCACACACACACATACACACGCATATATATGTATATATGTATATATAAAAATATGTATGTACATATATATCTATATATATATATCTATATCTATCTATCTATCTATCTATCTATATATATATATATATATATAGATAGATAGATATAGATATAGATATATATGCACACACACACGCACACACACACATACACATACACGCAAGCACACACACACGCGCACACACATACACAGACAGAACACACAGCGATAGGGAAGTAGAAACTTCAATAACTTAATGGAAAAATTAAGTCAATATATAGTATAATTCATTAAAATAACGTAAGAGGAGCAGCCACGATTGGATATGAGTCGGTCACACAACAGTAGATAAGACATACCCTCAAAAGTGCGATATCGTTGACCGGGATTGCGGAATTGGGCTCCCAGTAGAAGAGTTCAGAAACCGTGACCTCCGCAATGCCAATGCTGACCTGAGTCGCCTCGGGGAAAGCGAGGTCGTGTGCGCCGGCGACGACTGTGAATCTGTCGCCGTGCCATCTGTTTGGAGAAAGAAAGTAATAAACATAATTTCTAGAAAATTATGCTAGTAAATGTA